CTGTTAGAAGTAGCCACAGGAAAAACAAAAAATCCACCCCTACCATAAATGTTTTAATCATACCAACGCCCCATACCTTTGATGAGTCTTAGTTTTGACACAGAAACCACAATGTACTTTTTCAACCATTTGTGTCAGGTATTTTACTGTCCCTTAATTACTTTTTTATTAGAGCACTGAAATAAACATTATACAAGCTTGTTTTTTAAGAACTCTTACCTGAATGATAGGTTTGGAAGGAATCTTGTGATAGATCAGGGGAGCTATAAGGCCATAACAATTAACAACTGACTGCAGAGCATAATGAACATCATTTAGCCAGTTACTAAGTTCAACTGCCACCAGCATTCGCCCACATTCGGCTATTCTAGCAACCTAAAGAGAAAGTTTTCATCTACATATTTTTGTTGCAAAACAGGAATGTGAAAAATATATTTGCCAACTGAAGCAGCATATTATATTGGGTGCCTCATTTTTAGATGCTTCTGATGAGTTTTATGATTATTTAAGATTCAGATTTTATTGCACCAGCTGATTAAAATGCAGTATCACAACAAAACTGCAGTTTGGAAAATTTTAATGCAATGTCTACATAATGACTAATGAATGAGTGAGAGTAAATGCCATCATGTTAACTTCTGCCCCTGCATTTTTTTTTCACGAAAATAGGCAAACATTTAAATATAAAACCAACACAATAATTTGCAGATCAAGACACAATTATCCCTCAGATGCAACAGTTCTTCAAATGTTGTGATGCAGTTTTCAACTCAAGACATGCCCACACTAATGTTTGCGCTAGGTAAAGCTGTTTTTAAAAATAAAAAAGGAAAAGATGAAAAAAAATAAACATAAGGTCCTTTTTTAAATATGCAGAATATGAGCATTTGACCAAAGAAATCCATACCACATCCCTATTATATTAGTAATTAAATTTAAGGTATAAGTTCTGTGAGGACAGGAATGAAATAGAATGTTCCATCACTTCTTTCTTCCTGCTTTCCTTCAAATGACTGTTATGAGGCAGGGGTATCCAATGGAAGGGTCAAAAAAGTCAAGAAGGTGGTCATGACTGTGCAACTGAAGCCCATCTCTTTTTACGTGTGCTACAAAAAGCAATGGAGCTTCAATTGTGCAGTCAGAACTGCCATCTTGAATTTTTTTACCCTCCTGTAGATGTCCCAGTTATGAGCTAGCAGGGCAACCAGAATTAAAGTTCTTACAGAACCAAAAAATATAATCTACTGAAATGGATAAAATAAGTAACTGTAAGCCATTTTCAGTTCAAACAATTTCAAATTTGAAAATGTCATGTTACAAGTTCAAATGCCTGCTTTTGGTGCAAAATCAGCAGTCTCAGTGACTTTGAAAGTGCCTTGAGCATAAAAGAAGAGTTGTTTTGAACTCAAAATGCTTTTAAAATGAGTTAAAGAACACATTTCACAAAACAGGGCATTCTTAATTCAAAATGCTTTAAATCTGAAATGGTTACACACCCCTACAATTAATGCATAGGAAGTATAAAATATAATCTGTCCAATAGGGAAATGCTTACTGGAAAAGTGGGTGCAAGAGGCAAAAGCTGAATGGTATGTTCTGCAAACTTGTTCATTCATTTGTAAGAAAACTGAACCACAACTACTTTGAATTTGTGCATAAGAACATGAGCATAAAAAAGCCTACACTGAACATAAATTAAAGCCTAATTAGCAAGAATTTTGCTGTTACAGTGGAACTTCTGAATCCAAGCAATGGGTATAGATAGGTATCATACCTATAATACAGAGGTTTATATGTAACTATTGTGACTAGTAGTTCCCTTCTTTCAAAGTCAGCCCTTCAAGATAAGCCAGGTCAGGAAAGGACTACTAGAACTCTACTTTATTTCTGTAGGTTATAATAACAGAATCTTGAAAGCCTGATAGCTTCCCTCTGTGACCTCTAATAGAGGAACAGGATAGAGATATCTTTCTCATGCTTTCTTCCTTACCAGGGCTAAGTAGATGTTTATTTAACCATTCTTGCATTCCTTCTTGGAGATTAGCTCCATACTCTTCCACATTCAGTTCTACAGAATGCATACAGGTAGTCCTCACTTAACAATCATTCACTTAGCAACCATTTGAAGTTACAATGGTGCTGAACAAAGGGACTTACAACCAGTCCTCACATTTACAACTATCCCAGTCACGTGATTGTGATCGGAGCACTTGGCAACCAGCTTGCACTTACGATGGTTGCAACGTCCCAGGGTCATGTGATTGCCATGTGCGACCTTCCCAGCCAGCTTTAGGCAAGCAAAATAAATGGGGAACTGCATGATTCACTTAACAACCACATGTTTCACTTAATGGCCACAGTGATTCACTTAATGACTGCTGCCAAAAAGGTTGTAAAATTGGGCATAACTTGCTTAACAACTGCCATGCTTAACAATGAATTTTATGGTCCCTATTGTGATCGTTAAGCGAAGACTACCTGTAAAAGGAAGCTGGGTCACTTCTGCTCATTTCTAAACATGGTCACGAACATACAGAATCATTCAAAACCTTCTGGGTAGAGCTAATTATGTGCAAACCTAGCAACTTCATAGCTTCAAGGCTGAAAATTATCTCTCTAAAATAGTATTGAAAACATAGTATTTTCCATTAATGCATATTTCAATAATGGAAAGTTAAATGTAAATTTATCTTTCTCCTATCTAATTGTATAGGTGAATTTTATTTGTGATAAGAATATCAAGAGCAAGAAAAATAAGATCACGCCAAAAATATTAACGTTGCACAACACATACTTGTTTTTTATACTTAAGCTCATTGAAACAAATAGAATCACAGAAGAGACCTCCTTCATTCACACTGATGTCACTGATAATAAAAATACTCCTCAGGAACATATATAAGAGGTTTGGAGATGCTTGAGGCAGAGCTTCAAAATTTAGTCTACAAAAAGAAGTCAAACAAAAAGCCAAAAGAGCACAGTATAAAAATGCAGTAATAGCAGATAATAACAACTAAAAACAACAGAGTAACTAACTACAATACCTCAAAATGAAAGACAATTCTAGTTCTGTTATGACTGGCAAATCTTTTGGATGGCAACCTATTCACTAACATACTGTTCCCCTGCGCATTTCTGTGCAATGTAACATTGCCATTGTAAATGATATGATGATGATAATGATGGCTGCTGCTTATGCAGTTGTATTGATCAATGTTGTCATATTAAACATGGTATATACTAATTTACTGCAAGTTGTGAAATAATGATGGCACACTGTTAACCTATGTAGTTTTTGGCCAGTATTACTAGCCTTAACTTGTTCTACAAAAGCAATATTTATTCCAGAAAACTACATTATTCAAAATGTAAGCAATGAAGAAATTCATTGTTATTAAAATATGACTGTTTTTTAAAGACCCTGAATGTTTGGATAACTACCTGTCTTGGTATTTAGAAACATTTGCCAAACTGTATAAAAATGATATAGTATTCACTATCAAAAATAATAATTTAAATTGATTAATAATTTGAAAAACAGCTCCGTTGATTACCTGTTCTGCGGTACAGTCAAAGTGCTGCTTATAGAAACAATAGTGACATCAGTAACAGGAGTACAAGGCACTGAGACAAAATAATCCCAGAGTGGTTGAAATGTTTTTCTGCATAATGCATAGTTTTCAATCTGAAAAGCAGACTAAACATACAGTTATATTTTGAAATATCTTTTCTATGCTTATTTGAAATTATACAATGTAATCAGTGGCAAAGCTGATTAATGCATCAATAAAAATAATCATTATTTCCTTGACTTTACACAAACCAAAGCAAACACATCATATAAGATAACATTCCCTAAAACAAAAGAGGAAGTTCTAGTAGCGTAAGGTAACAAGATGGATAGGTTCATCCATTTTGTATGTCTTACAGTGGGACGTGTTGGAACAGAGGCAAGACTTGATGGTGGAATTAAATGAAATAAGTCACAAATCCTAGATTACTGTAAACCAAAATACTTCACACTGTTTTATAATCTGAAGAAATCAGGGACAGTGGGGATATCTCACAAGCTGAATGTCTGGGCAGGAGGGAGAAATACAGTAAAAGATATAAGATACAGACAAAACAATGTGAAGAATGTAAAGTTCAGCAGGTTTGGCTGCTAAAAATTCTTTCAAGGAAATTTTGAAGGATGGATAACTTCAATTCAGGATCATGCAAAAAAATAAATCAGCACTTCATATAAAAACTTGCAACAATGTTTAACAAAATAAATGTTAAAATCTACTGGTTTTGCATTCAATTAGGACCACAAAAATTTTAAAACAAACAGTATATTTTCCTCAACAGCAAAAAACAAAGTATTTAGAAATATTTCACTTTAGGAAAAAAAATCTTGTTTTAGAGGATATGTATCTTGATATTGAGAGTCAGATTACAAAAGAACCAAAGTTATCAAAGCCAAAAATAATATATATTACCTGAATCAGGTATGTTCGGACAGTAGCAGCAGATAGAGGAGGATATGCAAGAATAGGCTTAGTTGTTTCGCCAATGCTATCGCCAATAATTTTTCCATCTGAGTCATAGGCTGCAACTGCAAATACATAATTTTGATTGGCCTCTAATCCTTGTACTTCTAAGACACAAGATGCATCAGCTGGTATCTGATAATAAAAAATGTATTTGTTAGGATAAAAATAAAAAAAATATACCAATTAATGCCAAAATAAATAATGTCAATATCTATGATCTATATTTGTTGTGCTTTATGCTACTCCTCTGATAAAAGCCTCAAAACAACCCCATGATTCCTGGCTAAACAGTTAACTTGAAATTATTATATGAAATATGCCAATTCCTCTCTACCCACTCTCAAATGTTTTAAAATTAAAACCAAGATAAACATACATCCTCCTCATGGGCATCCTTTTTCCCCCATTTAAAAACTTTTGTTCTCTATTATTGTAATATTAAGCTGATGCTAGTTCAAGTTTGCTAAGTCTCATGAAAGGGGGGGGGGTCCCTCTCTCACTGAGATTACTCTAGCTCAGTAAATTCTTTTTGTATAGTAATTGGCAGAAAGGAAGATGGGGATTAGACTACTGGCTGCTAATATCACAGATGCTCAAGGGCTTACTAAAGCAAGAAGAAACAGAGTTAATTCTTTATGCAATTTCTAAGGAGAAAAGGAATTTAAGATGGCCTCATTCAGATAAAAGTCCATTTTCACAAAACATGATTTTTTATGTTCTCAGACCACTGCTCATCCCCAGCAACAGCTTAGAAGAAAAGACAAACTAACATCATCATCATCATCATCATCATCATCATCATCATCATCAAAGACATTACCGCTTCTGCTGTGTTCTTGAGACTATAATTATTTAATCGAGCTTTTGGATTGCTTCCTTCTGCCACACACCCAAAAATGCTGTACCAAGAAACCTTAAAACATAAAACAAATACACAACTGTTCTTAGTTCTGCAGCTGCAATTCTATGTGCAATTAAAAACTGTCTAAAGCAGTAGTTTCAAACTCAGAGCCCATGGGCCAGCCATATGTCATCCTCCAGCATATTCTGTGTGGCCCTTACCTTATTCACACACAGGAGGATGGAAGTTGTGCAGCAGCTTAACAATTCCTAGGCAAACATAAAGTGAAGAATGGCTCCATGCCTGCAGGACAGGCCATGGGGCAGCTGTACCCCTACCCTCACCCCTCAGAGACATCAAAATAGTTAGGGCTGAACACCTGCTTCCTTTGCCACCACTGCAGATCTTCCATGTTAAAGAGGAGCACAGCTCTGTGCTCAGGCAACAAACTGGCAGGACTCAGGCCAGTGGCTCAGTGCAGAACCTGGAAATCAGCTGCCCCTCAGCCTGTCCTTACCAGATGCAGAGTTGTTGCTCAGATACTTAAGCCTAAACGTAAGGCTATGCAGTATGAAGTGGTAATTGTCCAAAACCATACACTCCCTTTAATTATAATAATTTTTTTAAGACAAATTGAAACACCAAAATGTTATTTTTATATTTTTACACTTTATAACACCAGCCAAAATATATTTTATTTTCTAAAAATTACCGCATTTTCAAATATACCATATATATGTAATTTTAAAAACCTCTTGAAAGAACACTGAAAAACGATTACATTCTACCATCTAGTGGTACATGGTCTACATTTTATTTTTTTTATGAAAATGTGAAAAACAGCAACATATGGTATGTGAAGAGCAATAATTTTCCTTTCTTAATACCTAATGGGTACACCAAAATAATCAATAAATTTTAAATGTAAAATGCTTCAATTTTGGATGAAGATCTTGTAGCTTATATTAAAAATCTAACAAATATTTTCAGTACAGCACACAAAATATATCTCTATATAATTAGGGCATGTAGCTGTCTAGAGTAGAACAAGTTGATTAAATATTATACATTAAATCACAAGGGTACCTTCACGTCTGAAACAAATGGTGCTGGCTTAAATGCCATGGAACAATTTGTTCTAAAAAGTAGTATTGGAGCTGGTGGAACTTTGGTTTTCACGTTAGTTGTGTGATTTGAGAAAGTGGAGTATAATGCATTTTGTTCTATTTCAGTTTTCTGAATCAGGGTAAATGCTTCCTGAAATTTAAGAACAAACCCCAAGAAAATATTATTTCATTTATATTTCTTTCACATGCAATGTATAAACAAACAGAATCATGTGGTTAAAAGCAAGGACAGTTCAGGGTATAGTATTAGATATTAGATTTATCAGACTATTTTTCAAAGGATCAGTTATTACATTTCTGGAAGACATGATATTTCATAGTCTGTTTCTGTTCGTTTGGTTTTATTTTTTGTAATATTTGTATTTTATTAACAGATGCAGAATTTCATTCAGTTTTCCTGAACTAAAGTCTTGTTCTTTTCTTTCCAGATACTGTTTGGTTCCTTCTCTTTTAATATCCTATTTATTTATGATGCTTAATTTATACCACTGAATTTCTGCCTGTATTTTGGGAAGAATTAGAAAACAGTGCAAGGGTATACAATGTCCCCTTGTGCCTAGCTTGCAAGGGGCTTTAAAATTTTCAGAACGGGTGATTTGCAGACCTATAAGGCTTCAGGCACCAATTTTGTCCCTTAAATCCCTCTAATTCTATACCGATTACAATGTACTGTGTGAACTAGCCCATAAATCACTATTATTGCTTTATAGTAATGTAATAATTCAGCTTGCATTTACAGTAATAAAAGAAGTTTTTATTTTTAAATGCCTTTAAAAAGGAAGTCCTGGGATTTATAAGTTATTTTATTTTACTATTAAAAATATTTCTATACTGCTTCTTGATATAGAAAATCCTTATGTTATGAAAAGAATTCCTATGACAATTTTCAGGAACGCTGAATTTCTGAAGAATCTACAATTCGTAAGTACTGCTCCAATAAACAATCATATCAATGAAAAATAAGAATAATGCACAGAATTTCCATAAATTGACAATATAATTTATATACCTCCAGGAGCTGATCTGGGCAAGAACCAGCTAATCCCACTGGAAGCATCAGGGTAGCCTTCTGCATCAAGTAGAGTGCTTTGGATAACTTATTCTTTTTTATTTTCTCCATTATCTCTAGTTCTGTAAAACATTTTTTTTAAAGGTAATACAATTTCTTCATATGAAGTTTAATGCTGCTGGCTATTTTTACAAATACATACCTGTTAGACATTTTAAACGGTTTACATGCTTTGCAAGAGCCTTGACCTTAGGACTTTTGTCATCACCTTGAATGTCTAGGAAAAAAAAAAGTATATATGTACTGTATGTGTGTATATACTACTGTATATGCTTTATAATTATACAGAAACACAGGACATGAAACAGTAGTACAAGTGGTCCATGCTTAACGACTACTCATTCAGTGACTGTTCAAACTTGTGATGGTGTGGAACGAGCAGTACTTACGACCAGTCCCCCAAGTTCTGGCCATCTCAGCGTCCCCACGGTCATGTGATCGCAAGCCAGGCCCTCAGTGCCCGGTTCACTATTACAACATTGCAACATTGCAGCGTCCCACAGTCACATGGTTGCCATTTATGACCTTCTTTCCCAGCTTCCTACAAGCAAGGTTAATGGGGAAGCCAGCAGAAGGTTGCAAATGGCGACCACATCATGTCCTCACTTAATGACTTGCGGTGATTCACTTAATGACAGCAACTGGGAAGTGCCCAAACTGCTGTTGCTAAGCAACATGGTCATGTGCCGTCGCGCTTTATGACCGTGTCACTTAACAATGGAAATTCCAGTCCCAATTGCAATTGTTAACCAAGGACTACCTGTATACCTTTATCAAGTGTTGCCTTTGGCTTTCTGATACCACCATAGATTTTGATACTTATCTCTTCTGATCATCTGTATTCTTCTTGCAAACAGAAGCCACAGATTTCAAAATCAGTTTCTGTTATATGCACTCAAAACAGATCTAGCAGATTAGCCAAAATGTTTTTAAAATAATATCTAATATTAATAGATAATGGTCTAATATAGGGAAATATTTTAAATCAGAGACAGAAAAGGGTTGAGCTCTATATTTTGATTATTCCCATTTGAGAATATGTGTCAAATGTCTGCTGCTTCTCAAACATAAAATAATGAAGGAACCAAATCAGCTAAAAATGCTTCCAGGTGAAGACCTATGGCAGGTTAGGCATCCCTGCAAATGGCTCCGTGAACAGAGACAGCACCACAGTGAAACTGGCAGCTAGGAGACAGGTTCTGGCTGACAAAAATCTCTCTAGGGAAAGGAGTTATTGGGGGATTGCCCAGTTGTCCTCATGAGGAGACCACAGGAATTGAGCTTCTTGTGGCCAATCGTGAGTTGAGCTGCTTGGGAGCCGAGGGAACATCAATGTGCCCTTAATGGCTGTACAGCCTTTATGGACACATGACCAGCAAAAAACTCATTTTCTTAAATACCTTTGGATATAATTAATTTATAACCTACTCCGAATGGCAGGGAAGAACAAACTCTCAGTGAGTTGTCTTCTTTTTGGAATTAAGAAGAGGGGAAAAAATGCTATCTTAAAGGATTTTAATTTAAAAGCAAAAAGCTTAACAAGATTGTGATTCAAGAAGGTTTTAAATGGATAAAGGAAACAGTAATTTTAGAAAACAGTTGTTTTTTTTCTGACAAAAGTACCTTTGAACATAGTAAAATTAATTAGACAAACAGACCGGACCTTTGTGGGAATGCTGATTATTATTAAAGAAAGTAGATAATTGGTGGATTTTGCAAAATAAGAAGATAAGGGTAACATGAGACAGACTGCGTGACTGTAACTACAGAGAGCTAATTGGGACAAAAGTGTTAAACATAGGGAAAAGCAAAAACAGAGAGAGCACTCAAAACAGATCTAGTAGATTATCCAAAGATTTTTTAAATAATATCTAATATTAATAGATATGATCTAATATAGGGAAATATTTTAAATCAGACAGAAAAGGTTTGAGCTCTATATTTTGATTATTCCTACTTGAGAATATGTGTCAAGTGTCTGCTGCTTTTCAAACTGTAAACATAAAGCAATGAAGAAACCAAGTCAGCTAAAATGTCAAATAAATGTTTAAGTTGTACAGAGTTATTTCAGAACAACTATAAAATAGATTTCCTTCACTATCAACAGATTTGTCTTAGCTCCAGGTTAACATTATTACCACAAAGCTTCAGCAACCTGAGATGAACTGAAAATAGTGAAACCTTTCCCTTTTTTAAAACAAGATTGGATGAATGTTCTAGATCTAGTTATCTACTGTGAAACATAGTAATATATAGCTTGCTATATTAACAATTATATGACAGAAACATATAATGATACCTGAAATGATAGGTAACAGTTTTGCTGTCCATCAAGGCTTTTTTCTTTTTTTTTTTCAAATGTATTTTACACTTGTAATTTGGTATTTATTCTGGTTTGTATTTATTATAACCTATCCAGGAAACTTTGCGTTGAGGAGTTCCATCCAAACATCATAAATAATCTGGACCCATGCTTGATTGAATCTGGTCCAGCTTTATCTGCTTTTCCTCAAGAAAATTTGACTATGAAAACAGACTAATCAAATAAGCTTATAGACTGAAAACATATGAATTGAAAGTACTGGTAGTTATTTTGTTATGTTCCTGATACTGTCCTAGTTTTCTTAAGTCAGTCACATCACTAGCTTGATGGAGTGGGCTGTCTAATATCCCCCAAACATTCCATAATTGTAATACCCCTCCTAATGGCAGGCTTTTCCAAATCTTTTAGACAAAAATAAAAGAAAATCTCCTGTTTCACTGGAGTACATGCTCGCACCTTCCAGTGTATCTTTCTGGCCACTTTTTCTTCCCCTTTGCTAGGCAGACATCCTTTCCATTCAAAACTCATCTTGTTCTTCACATGGCATCAACTTCTTTCCCAACCTAGTGCCAAAGATATCCAATCACTTCCTCAACTCTGATAGCATACTTTGACCCAATTTTGTTCATTGATCATATAATTTTTGAGTAGTAAGGGCTGCAGCTGAACAAGATGGGCACTTTGGTTACATGCAGTCAGGAAAAAGCAATGAGTCTCCATTATCCAGCTAGATTTATATATGTATGTGTTGTGAGACTAGGCTGAAGCTGCCATAGCCTAAAGATGAAGCAGGCATGTAAGCAGAGAGGACAAAAGCCAGGAATCTTCTCTATGAGATCCCTTTGGGGAGATAGATAAGAAGAAAGCAAGTTGTTAAGGAAACAAAGGAAAAATGTGACCTGATCCAGACAAAAGAAGTTGGGCCTGAGCACATGGAAACCCCAATCCCATCAACAACTGCCAGACTTGTGAATCAACAAAGCAAGGACTTTTGGGGATAAAAGGGGTCCCAAAGCCCGCCCACTCTGAGTCGTCTGAGTCACCTAAGCCGAGTCATCTGAGTCATCTTTGGATCCAGACTTGGCGGCTTCCATCCCTCTAGCTAGTGCCTGGCAGCCTAGTTGGGAAGGACGTGGGTAAGTGTGGAAGAGCGTGTGTGTGTGTGTGTGTGTGTGTGTGTGTGTGTGT